AGTCAAAATAAGGTGAAAAAATTAATATATTAAATCAAAAAAAATACTGTATGTTTGGGACATACAAAGGTAAGTTTTCACCAAAGGACTATGGGCGGAATCGTCCCCACCCATCAACAACACAAATGAAATGTAGCTCAATTGATAGATCTTGGCAAGATGATAGTTTTTTACTATGCCGACGTTGCCAAAATGCATGGGGTTCTCATGGTATCTTACGTTTAAATAAATATCTCATTGACGTATTATTGACGACTAATTCCAAAATACCTACTCATTTTTCTTTTCATTAGTGTACAGCGGCGGGCTGCTCTTGATCATAAAGATAACAGGTTACAAAATAACCCCATCCCCCCGCTCCCCGCCCCATGCTCCTGCGCAGGCGTCCTAACCTTAGTCACAGTCAGTTCGCTGCATTGTACGTTAACGTGTTATTTCTTTTTGTGTTTTCGGTGTTTACTTTAAGTCTCTTCCGAAAGCTTTGACTTCCTACCCTTATGCTGCGTTGCACATAATCTCGTACCCTCTTCCCTGAGGATCCGAACCACATTTTCGAGGTTTTAGTTGACGTCTGATGTGGTTTCCACGGCAGCATATCGAGTGTATCGATGTCGGTGCGTACACTTGCACCACCTTGAGGCTATACCTCTCGGTGAGCTTTATAATAAGGTACACTACCCTGTTCGACATGACTGGTTTGGTGATATTATATCAATTATATACATTTCTACAACGTTATCGGCAAGGGATTTATTTACCAAAAACCCAACGCCACCTTGGGACTGTTGGTCTCCCCCGCGGAAGCACATTAGGTGGCCCGATTCGAGGGTTATGGTGTCCTCCCCCTCTTCTTCCTCGTCGCCTTCGTCCTCTTCGGACTTCACTAACTCTAACACGTGTCACCTAATCTTCCCAAGTTCCACCTCGAGTTCGATTCGAGCACTTTAGAAACACATTGGTATCAGTTCCATGTTTGTTGGTGGGTGGGGACGGAGCCCATACATTTTTGCCCATAGTCCTTTCGTGAAAAAATACATTTATTTGCAAAAAATAAAAATCAAAAACCAAAAACTCGGTTATTCGCATTTTCACATAAATTTTGAGGTTATGTTTAAAAAGTGTCGATACAAAAGTTGTAGATCTTTTTATTACCTACAACTTTGCGATTTAACTTTTTTTCATAGGACTTGCAGTTTTACCGGAAATCGAGATTAACCATTTTTTACCCTTAAAAACTCACCCTCTCCCCCTTCCCGACCTCAGATCGCCCGTAATTTATTTTTCCTTTCATTTTTTTGGTCTCAAAAATTATCGACCCTGGTCTATATCTTCCCTTTTTGTTTAAATCTAACGGTGTGAAACAGAAAAAGCCGATATGGGGCCGTCCATTAATCACGTGATGTTTTTTTTGGCATTTTTAACCCAACCATTCGACCTCCCTGGCTGTCTCTCGACGCGGCCTCGGATTCTGATGGGCCTACTCTACCAACTATCGAATCCTCTACATCACAATTATGTTATATTCATCAACTTAAAATGTAATAAATAAATATTTTAAAAAAAAAACCTGGACCAAGTGTTTTTTTTCTAGTCGGACCTTCCAATCACAAACGCACATTCGTATTTTTAATAGGGTAGTATTTGAACGTGTTTTATAAGTTTTTAAGTGACAAAAATTCTGATTTTTTATTAAAGTGAGCGACAGCTCGTGACGACAAATCAATAAAACAACGACTTAAAAACGTTTACTTTACTTAGAATACAGAATGAGCAGCTCTTTGAACGAAATGATATTTAAATCTAAAGAATTTTTTAACTAGAAAAAAATCCACGCGGTCCAGGCAGCATTAAAAATCTTCTTAGTTAATACTAAGGCACTTGTTGGATATTAAAGGTTTTTCATTACTGGTGAATAAGTGCTGGCTTGGATTTCGCAGGAGAGCCTAGTTTTCTTTTTGTCCAATGGATATCACTTTCGCTCTATTTTAATATTTAAGTTGCCCGCTTGGTTATTTGCGTCGCTTTCTTAGTAATTTAGTCGTACGCTTAATATTTTTGTGTGCAAAATAGATATTTTTACAGCCCACATTTGGTAAGTTCGACCTGAATTTTATTATTAATCTATGTTTTCAGTTTAGTTATTTTTTCGCTTACTCAAATTCATACCGCTCAAGTTAGTAAAACAGTATCTCAACATCAGTCGCTAAGCTTTTTGGTTGCTCGTTTTATTATTTCCCATTTTAATACCCCTCATTATACAATTGTTGAATAAATAACTACTTATTACTGCACGCTCCGTTGTAGAGCGCCGTGCGTACCCTTAATGATTTTTTTAAAATTTTGATCGAGCCTCCTTGGAGCCCTTTTATTGATTTAAAAGTTTGTCTCACTTTAATGCAAAAAAGAAAAAGAGATGAAAGTTTTAGCTCTAATTTTCACCTATCGCATGTGTCGCCACTTGAAATTACGCGCCATTCTTTTATTACAAAAAGTTACTTAATAATAATACTGTTTTCTCGCAAATGTGTTAAAAAAGGTGTATGATATTCGTGTGGGATTGGAATTATAATATCGTGATAATTATTAGCCAGAATAACATAAGGAGGGCAACCTTGCACCTTGTGAAGTACTCCATATGAGCCCTTTATATAAGGTCGAACGTCCAGGGCAGCATAAAAAAAATCGACAAACAGCCATGATTTTTGGTCGTGTCCAATTCGTCCGTCTTTTTAAATAGGAGCTAATGGGGGATAACGTTGCGATTCCTGCTTAAGTTCCCCTACTACATGGTAAGCCCTCGATTTCTTCTCGGGTAATACCAACTTACCGCACAAATATTATAATAAACTATCCGTTGACAGGCGACAATTTTTCGCTTCTAATTCCTGTGTTCCAGTGTGTAAGATCCCAGGTATTGGTACGCAACATTACAAGATTTTATCACATATCTGTAATAAAAATCGGACCATTACCTGTGTACTGGTAAGAATATTAAGTAGCTACTTGTGTTTTATTCGGAGCGCAGGTTTCATTATTTATAGGAAACATAAAGCGACTTACTTTATTTACTCTGTACTGAGTTATGTCAATAGTTATGCAAAATTATGGTACAAGTAATGGACTTGGCGTCTCTGGACCACGAAATTAAGTAGTCAAGTTTATTATAAGCAGTTTCTTGTTCCCTAACTATCATGACCGATAAAGCGATGTTGATTAAAGACATCAGCTGATACCTATATCTTACTTACTTATATACAACAAACAGTAAATAATGTGACGTATGTCAAAAAAGCATGGCAGGTAACTCGCCTCGAAAGAAAAACGTACCTATTTATATGTATTCTAATTTCTGTCTATCTTCACGTCGTGTCCCGGAATCAAATTACATATTTAGAGGAATTTATATGTAGTTCATTCATAACAAAATTATGTTACCTCCCTACCACTACAGCTTCTTCTTTGCACCACACTCCTGGCACGGTTGACCTTATTCGCGACGTCGCGAGTGTCATCTGGGCGGGCGGAGCAGGGCGGCGCGCCGATCGCCTGGCACGCGCCTTGCTCATTTTCAGACTGTACCGACTGCAAAAAATACCATTTATTTTATTATTAATACTGTCACCTTTTGCGGTTTCCCTTTTACATATTCTATTTCATAGATTTCTGTCTGTATTGTAGAAAACTACCGCATTAACATGTAATGTACTTGGGTACCTACTTTTAAATTGTAGTTTAGGAATAAACATTTCTGCACGAGTTTTCTAAAAACATAAAATAACTTATCTGCATTGTATTTCCAAATAAATTATAATAAGCATTTTTATGTCAAAATCAAACTATAAGGTACCTGGGTCGAATATGGCCAGCCGAAAAATATGGCCACATGCCATTATTTCAAATACAAAATATTGTAATAACCTGAACGCGATCATAAATTGTCGCTAGTGTAGCATGTATTCAAACGGCGTACCTGTCACTCCTCCCGCGCGCCCGCTAGTCGCCCAGTGTTCATTAAATGGAAACGTGTTGTGAGGTTATAAAAACATCAAGTAAGTATTGTCCTGTATTTTATTAGGTTTGATTTAAAAATCGTTGTAAATCACAATATGATTTGTGTGACGATTGTAATTTGATATTTCTTTGTTTAATTACCAAAGTAATAGTGAGTTTTTCATTCGTGAATATGCAAACGTAAAAAATGCATGATTGCAAATATGGCCACCGCGTGGCCATATTTCCGGTACTAAGTAAGTAGTAACACTTTTTTTTGTTTTAGATCATGGCACGCTGTAAATCTAAAGGGATTAGAGGTAATTGGTCAGAAGCATCAATGAATGAATAAATTAGTTTGCACTCGATGCAGTCAGGACTAATTAAAATATTTATTTTATTAGATTCGCCTACTTTTTTCTAGTTTAACATATCATTGTGATTTATCTATCAAGGATCTCGAAGATTACGTTTTATTTTTGATAATTTTGTTGATTTAAAGTATAGTTTTTTAAGGATTTAAAGTTTAAAGTTTAGAATATCTTGTTGAATCTCATTGTTGATTTTATCTTTCATTATATTTCTTGTAAACATGGTTCTTTATTTGTACTGAATATCGCCCAAAGAATATCTTTTAAATAAATTTTCTATTAAAATATGATAACTATTTTTATTTCATTTTATTTAGAAGATTTTTAAACTACCTAACTCATACAGTAAATATGGCCACATGTATGGGCATATTTACCTCCCCCGTCGGAAATATGGCCAATTTCTATATTTTTAAAAATGTTGAAAATACTTTTTATCATTAGAAGTCTTTACATTTTTTTGCCTTTTTGTAAAGATAAATAACCACTCTTTATATATGAGTGCTAAAACCTTCTTGTTTTAGCTTTATTATTATTAAAAAATAATACCAAACCTTAAGGTGGCCATATTCGACCCAGGTACCTTATTTAACAGTAGGCACAGTTACAATTTGAATTTGTTCTGTGCACCATACCATAATCTATTTTAGTAAAGGCAGCCTGAAGGCTCGTTACAAAGGAGACATCGGACCATAATGGCTTAGGTACTGTCGAGACTTGCGTGACTTGCCGTTTGCCAGGCTCTGCTTTCCCAGCCCCAATCAAAGGCGGCCCAGCGGTCTGAACAGTAGGGCCTCTCAACAAACCGAATATTCTTTCAAAAATGGAAAAGACTTAGCTGAAAATGGATCAATCAGGATCCTCCTCCTCGAATCAGGACCCACGCTTTGAGTTCATAGGAACGTACACAGTAAAATCCTTGAAATTGAAACCTGAAAAATGGCTGAGGGTTCTGGGTTCGGAGGAGTACAGGACCACCCTGAGAGACTTTGTGGACAAACCGCTGCCATTTCTTTTGGTGGTGGTTTTGACCCACGCCAACCAACTTATGCCGGTGGTGTCATTTCCGTGCTATCTGAAGAACAAAGCGGTCTACTTCGTGAAGAAGAAGCCAGATGTTGTTCCAAAGGAGAATTGTGTTGAGATGCTAATATTTGGTAAGTGAAATTAATTTTCAGAACCGAGGTGTGACTACTACGTACTTGTTTAGTCAGTACAAGGTACTTCTGTGATCAGGTAACGATACTGGAAACGTAAAAAAATAAGAAAAATAATAGAACATTTTAAAAGTTCAGAATATTTGAACTTTTTTAGTTAGGAATAAAAAACTTTTCTCTAAAGAAGCTTGTTTGAGCGTCAAACTTTCATGATTTTGCTACATCGCGTATCAGACCAAAGAAGACTCGTCACTCCTTTACAAAATTTACCTAGCCCCGTGACAAAAGATAGCATTCTCAAAAATTTGTATATAAAAGGCAAATAAGTAACTGACAATCACCATTCCTAATAATAATAGCTAACACAAAGAAAGTACTTTCTAAAGAGGTGTATTTTTGGGAAAAATAAATAAGATGTATTTATAATTTAATTTTTATGTGCCAGAATTTAATGATTATAGAATTCAAGATAGTTAATAGTACAGACGACACGTTTAGCTATTGTTCCGTAGATAGTTCATAATAGTATTGTACCAGGTAATATTTTTGAAAATAAGACTACTCCGAAAGCGATAGCGATATTCGTGATAGTGATTTGTGACGGTACGTATTTATTTATAGAAAAAAGTACAACTTCCAATTACAGCGCCGAAGTTACAGTTTGCACAAATATAGCAATCTGCTAAAATCATTTTTGATCTCTGTGCCGATAGGTTTAAATAATTGATGTCGCACGACCTTATGCGGCTACAACCTCGGATGCTGATATATTGATGGACATTATTCAAAATCACGGGCAACCTATAGAAAACGGAGCGTTTCATAATTTTTTGAACATGGGGGTGTATTTATTTTGGACAGGGTCTTTCTCGACGCTATTCCTCTCGTGCCCACCTAGCATGAGCACCGCGATATGATATATAGAACATTTTTATCACGGTCAATTGTCAAATTACTATGAAGTTTGACAGTTAGAGGTGGTAAAAAACGTGATATAATATAAGCTGTGGTGCTCATGCTAGAGGGACTGGAGTCTGATGATAACGTAAAATGAGACATGAAACCCAACACAGCACAATATAGGCCATACATGTTGTAAGCGTTGTGTATTATCTGGGTTGGGCTAGACACGAAGAGGTGTCCACACAGCACAGGGACTAGATTGTGTTAATAGATCTAGAAAACCAATAAAAATAATTTAAGAATGGCTAGAGGAATTTCGACGCGGCCGTCAGGGCCGCGGTAGCATAATTGGTCAGTGCATTCGGCCTGATTGCGAAGGGTGCGGGTTCGAGTCCCGTCTGCTGCCTGGTCCGCGTGGATTTTTTTCTAGTTATATTTTCTTTAGATTTAAACATCAAGCAGTTACATGCTTAAAAAATTAAAATTATAATTATACTCGTAGTATCTACTTTTTGTGTTATATTTAAAATCTTGCTAAACAATTTAGAATTTACTTTTGTTGATTAATGCAAAATAATAAGTCATACCTATTATTCCTTTTGACTGTTTAACGACGACGTTGTATTCACTGCTTACACTATTTAGCTTTAGCAACTTTTATACTCATTATAGATAAAAAAGGCTCTCTACAAATAAAATTCACATTTTTTCGCAACTTTTCCGTGATAGCCATTGTGATTGAAAAAAAAATCTACTTATACATGAGGAGCTGGCGAACAAAACGGTATAATTCTCTGGTCAAACTATTTTTTATTACTGTTTGGAGGTTTCGGGCCCGTTTATTTTGAATTTCATTTAATTTTCAATCAAAACTAACTAGCACAGCGTTAAAATTACTAAATTTATAAATTAAAGACCATGCCAAAAGCTCACTGTACGTATGTCATTCAATTTTATACAGCTACTGTAAAATTTAATTTTATCCATATAATTTAACACATTATAATGAATAATATGGCATTATTTTTTTGTGCGCCGCAGCTTGTCGACTTTTAAGTCACATTTGACGAGTCTTCTTTTCTGTAAAATAGTAGATTACATTTGCACGAAGCGATATGCTTCCGCTTTCATTATGCGAACGGCTAGAGAGTGGAACTCCGTGCCGAGGTCTGTTTTCCCGGACCAATAATATCTAGACATCTTCAAGAGTGAACAGGCATCTTCTAGGCAGGCGTGTACCATCCTAGGCCTTATCATCGCTTTCCATCAGGCGAGATTGTGGTCAAACGCCTTGCCTATTAAGCATTAAAAAAAACTGAACTATTAACAGGGCTTCGTTGTAATCAATAAGATGTTATTGAAGTTAGTGCTAGTTTGAAATATTTTATTTTTTCGTGTGTGTTTCATAGGTGACTTAGCGCCGAGACTGATAGATGAACTAGCATCATTGGTAGACGAAGTATTTGTTCCATTGCTGTCTAACCCGTTGAACCATGAAGGATGGCCCCTAGTGGTCTCGCAAGATATTCTGAAGCAGATCCACAATCTGAAGAGCACTGTTTATGAGGTAATAATGGACCAGTTATATCATTTAAATTTGGCTGGTGCAATGGTTAACGTCCGTCCACCTTACAGAATACTGTAGAGAAATCTGTTTATAATATTATGGTCTTCTTGTTGCGAACAAATTTGTCAGATATCCCTGTCCTGGGATAGGATACAGCGTCGACGTTTGGCAACGTGTAAGTCCTAGCTACTCATCGGAAGTCACTATATAACCACCATAAATGAATAAAATAAATATTTCTAACGCTCACACCAATTAGCCTAGCCCCAAAGTAATCACTCAGGCTTGTGTTATGGGGTACTATGGTAACGGATAGAATACATATACTGATACATATTTATGTATATTTTATATAGAAATACATATTAAACATCCACGACTGGAGTACAAATGCTCGTATTCATCATACAAACATCTGCCCCCACCTGGATTCGAACCCGGGACTTCTCGAGAAGGCGACACCATGAAACTCGGCGTACAAGCCGCTCGGCCAAGATGGTCGTCAAAATAACAACTATCCACTTTCGCAAAGACCGATTATAGCATGGGTGACCAAAAAGTTCTTATATCGAGCTTCTCTGTGATTCGGATGGCATGTTCAGAAGCAGGTTTCAGCAGTCCCTGCAGTTAAAGTTAAACTTATCACCCACCAAGTAGCACTGGGCTCGCGTGGTGAGTCATGGCCCGCTCGGCCTATTCCCCTATACCAACAATAGGGAGGCCTGTGTCCCAGCGGTGGGTACATTAATAGACTGTTGCTGATAATGTTTGTTTACAATCCTTAACGCGCAAATACTTCTGAATCCATTAATAGGTAAAAGGCAAAGTAAATGGCCAGACTGTTCTCCCGATGCCAGTGGGGGTGGAGTTGGTGCACGACGCAGAGAAACAGGTGCAGAAGGGTGTGGACGTGGATCTTTACTTGAAGAGCGCCATCGAGGGAGTAGTCATCAAGTGGGCGCAGCAGATCAATGACGTCATGATGGAGGACTCTGCGCAGGCATTTGAAAACGGCCAGAACCCGTCACCGACTGTTGGTACGTCTCTTGTGAGTTAAAACTAAACCTATATTTTTGAAGTGAAACTTCTTTACGCACGCTTGACTTGGGGGGTAAGCTGGCGAATGCGCACGTATCGTTTGTATGCCAAATCCGACAGAGGGGAAAGCTGTGTATGCCTACCCCCCTTTTGGCCGCGTCGGCCGTGTTGCTGTAAGGTTATAGGGTTTAATCATAAATAAAACTCATTAATTCAGTTTAGACAAATAATTCTGAATAAAAAGGTTAAAATAACAAAAAAAAATTTTTTCTCCATTATCCCTGGTTCTACGTGTGTATTGTGTATCCAACCATTTACATGTTAAAAAAATTGTAAGTACTTGGACCAATAGGTAAAACGATACTTATGAAAAAAAAACACAAAATAACACTTTACAGAGTTGACATTCTGGCGATCCAGACTCAGCAACCTGAACTATATTTATGACCAACTGCGCACCGAACGCGTGCGATGCATGGCTGTCATTCTGGAGAAGACCACATCAGCGTATTATCCTTGCTTCAGCCGATTGTTCAAGAATATTGTGTCAGGTAAGAGCTTAAAATTATAATTATCTATTAATATGTCTATTAGTCACAGTCACAACTAATAGTAGTTCTTAAAATGTCACAAGTCGAATGAAATACTGGCCGTTCGTGATTTATATATTTTCGTAAAAAAAAGTGTCCAACGACACATCGTTGGTGGTTTCGGATAATATGTTCACAGGAACATATAAAAAAAACTTTTTTTTTATTTACGTTATTACAGTTTAGGATTTCCTTTTACAACAAAAACTTTTTTCTAGTATATTAAATTTCAGATCATAGGTTATTCTAAGTATTTTAAATATTAACATCCATTTTTGTTTCTAGTTACTTTACATTAGTTACAAAGGTCGAAAAAAATATACCATCATTAAAATATTATTATGTGGACTTTCGTTAGAAGCTTATCATGATATGTTGACTTTTATACTGAGAGCACGAACCACGCACTCTTTTCTGCAACATCTGAACATTTCCAAGCTGAAACCGATCGCATGTTTAGAACAATTTGCGGTTTTTTCTATGCAACGATACAAATTCATAATGACGTCGTCAACGAAAATCGTTAGAAATAATTGGCTTCTTGCATTATTCATTGAATTGTAATTAGGAAATGAAAGAACATGAATACACCGAGAATAAGAGTTGTGTATCGTTTTTTTTATTTACAATTGAAAGTCACACGAGCAACGTGAATGGAACTTTAATAAACTATTTAATAATACTCTGTGGGTTTCAGACTTTAGAATAGTGCTAAGTAGAAATGTGAGACGCTTCTCACTACTCGCTTTTACCCGTTCATTGAATTGTACCTTTACCTACTGAATCATTAAATTCTCAAAGGCGCAGCGCACATCGGAAGGGGCGCGGCAAAGATACTAGACGCGGCGACTCCGAGCGCAGCGAAAAGCCACGAAGCGGCGCGCGGCAATTTTGAGCGCGGCAAAGAACAACAGAGCGGCGGCGGCGCGCGGCAATTTGAGCCCGGCTTAAAGCCATGGAGCGGAGTAGTCGCGTGCCGGATCTCGTTGCCGCTTTGCAGTACTATGCGCCGCTTATGTATTGTTACATGCCATGAAATATTTTAAATTTCTGATATAGGAATTAGGGTTTAACTACAATTCGTAACTTGTTAGTATCGTAGCCGCGCCTCTCCAGGTGTGCTGCGCCTTATTGTGCTAAACCACAATCCCATAAATTAGAATGATACATTAGTGTACATTCAATGTTAGCTAGTAGGTTCACAAGGACGTTCGAAAATTTCAGCTTTGGCTGAGGCACGAGAAATAGACTTGTATTTGCACACATTGGAGAGACACTTTCAAGTATTGGAAGACACCGATTTCACCGAATGTCAGGCTTTATTTCGACCCCTGTTTCACGTCATTTGTATGATTTGGCGGGATTCGAAGTACTACTGCAGTTCCTCCAAGCTGATGGTTCTTTTGAAACAAATCTCTAATCTGTTAATTTATCAGGTAGGATATAAGATAAATTTTAATCCTACTTATATTATAAGTGTGAAAGTTTGTATATCTGTTACTCAATCACGCAAAAAGTACTGAACGGATTTGGACAAAATTTGGTACGAATATAGTTTATGACCTGGACACAAGAAACTTTATCCTGGAAAAGTGTTAGTTTTCTTGAGGGATTTACAAAAAACTAAAGTTAACGCGGACGAAGTCGCGGGAAGCCGCTAGTGTAAGCATAAATGTAGTGCGCGAGCATTGTATTTTTTGCTAGTAGAGCTGAGCGAAGCGAAATCGGTTGTAGTGTAAGTGCAAAGAAATGAATTAAAGGAGTGGTTTTATTAATGTACGTATTCTAGAATCGATTGTTACGCTCATCTTGCATTCGAAAAAATCTATCATGGGATGGCGGACCAAAAATGAATGATATTACTAGCTGCTTTGCGCTTCGGAAAAACAATTTAGTTTTCGTCATTATGAGATTGGCAGAAAAACATTGGATTAAATAAATAAACTAAGTCCAATATTTTATCTGCCGTAGATTGGGTCTTAACAGTTACAGTGACTGTCGCTTCCATAATTTCTAATACGTTTCTGTCAGTTTTAATAGTTTGGCAATTCGCGCAATATAAACTATTGAATTCTCTCTTGTTAACTTTCTGTTTGCTTAATTTTTGCTATAACTGCAGATGTTAACTATGTAACACGCACTAACCTGCAAGTTAATTCAGTACAGCTAAACTTATACTTACCCTAAGTGATGGTGCAATCTATGGTTGATACCTAACCTACCTCAGGGTTATTCGGGAGCTTTAGTGCATTCAGCGTAAAGAAATTGTGCAGAACTGGCAGTTTGTTTAGGTATTTAAAACCTTATGTTTATGAGACTCTTCCATTTGCACACATGTCACATAAGCACCTTGAACTTTAAATACAAGTGGAATTTAATCAGGTTTTATTATTTTAGCATTAAAACAATAATATTAAATATTACCCGGACGCAACTAAGATATTTCTTTAAATTTTAGGCAAAAAAATGCTTAGATCCGAGTACGCTATTTCACAGCGATATTGACGAAGCCACTCAGCGCATCCAAGAAACGATAGACATATTGAAAAATTTCCAAAGTACCTTTGGGTACTTCAAGGACAATTTGCACAAATATTTCGTTGATAGAAGAGTGGTACCATGGACTTTTCATCCGAACGTGGTCTTCGAGAGGTTGAACAAGTTTCTCGAGAGACTAGATACAATCCAGTGGTTCTTCAAAACAGTATTAGAGTTCCAGAAACTGGAAAAAATTGAAGTCGGCGGCATGAAGGGACGTGTTTTGAGTTTACAAATTCGAGATATATCTGCCGAGTTTGAAGCGTTCTTTCATAGTTTTGCATCCAAGTCTTACGATGTCTTAGAACCCGATGATGAAACATTTAATGCCGATTTTAAGGACTTTCAAAACAATATCGTCGATTTAGATTTGAAATTATCAACGGTCTTAGTCGAGTCATTTGATAACTGCCCGACATTAGAGGACATTTTCAAGGTAGAACTGTACATACATATTAGAACATAACTAAATGAATAAAAGGCACAAAGCTGTTAATTTATAAATAATTTAATTTAAATAATTGCAGCTTATCGATATAGTGGGATCTGTTCTGGATCGACCACTAATAAAAAATGAATTCACTGCCAAATATGTCGAAATACTTGTGATGTTGGAAAAAGAAATTGTTATATGCGAAGTAAGTTTTTTCGTCAATAGAGTATTTCTAAAACTCTATCTCCCTTATTAATAAATAAATAATAAGTATCTCTATGTTTTGTCTCTCTTCATTAAAGTACAAATTAATGGCACTTGAGTGATATGAACCACACACGGCGTAACTAGTCTAAGCTTATTCCTTGTTTATTAATAAGGGGACAAGAGTGAGAATCATAGTTTATGATGCTGAAGCAAACGAAATATTTTTCTAGGAGTTATTCACCGAACAGACACAACGCCTTCACAAGTATGGCATCATGGAGATAGACGCATTCCTTCCTCCTGTCGCAGGAGGACTCCTGTTCATGACCACGCTGGCTGCGAGGATAACCAAGCCCGTAGCCAGCTTTCGCAATTTGCCGCACCCGTAAGTCACCGGGGTGGGGCAAATTGCGAAAGCTGATTACTCGGCTTACAGTCATCTAGTTTAGACCTTAACAAAATAGTGAGGAGTCCATTTTTAATCACTTTAGAACACATCATAGTTTAGTGGTAGTTATTTTTTGAAATTAACTATAGCCACATTCACCTGATAGACAAAAGATAAAGAATAGATTAGTGTAAATGTACCATTTTATAATCTTTTCTTTTCTCATATGTAGGATAAAGGGTTCGGAAGAAGCGATGAGGCTTTTCAAAAGGTACGATAAACTTATTGAAGATATAAACGAATTTAAAAAGAATTATTTCAATGATTGGACTTTTAATATTCCAAAAATAATTGAAAGTAAAACTAAGAACTCTATAATAGCGCGGCAAGGTTCAGATCTTGTTTTAAATTTCAGTCCAATGGTAAGTTAAATTGATTGATACATATAAAAATTATATAAAGTTAAACATTTCAAATAAGCAATGTTTTACTTTCCATTCTTTCCATACCTTAATTTATGTATAACTTGATTTTAGATTCTAGATATATTAAAAGAAGTTCACCATTTACGAAATAATCCTGATGTACAAGAAAGTCTACCAAAAGAAAGTCTAGTGTTATTTGAAAAACAAGAAACTTACAGGCAATATAGAATTAACTTAGGCATCACAATCGATTGGTATAACCAAATTAGAAGAAATAGCCAAAAAGTTGAATTTGATCTTGTAGAGGATGAAATAAAGGCCATCGATCAAAGAATAGCGTTAGCTCAAAATGAATTAAATTGGAATTCTGAAGGTAGTAAGCAAAATAAGAAGGTAATGTAAGGTATGCAACTCTATAGAATATTTCATTATTAATACAAACTTACAGATTTATGGACACAGTTGCAAGAACTACACACACTAGTTGGAAATTTGTTTGAACGAATGTCAAAAATTCAAGAGAATTTGAGGGAAATAAAGACTGTAATGAAAGAATGGGCTAGTTTGCCTTTGTTTGAAAGAAAAGAAGGGAAAAAGGTAGATTTTCACTGTTCATATACAACACCAAAGTACACAGACATATGTATAACATTTCCAATTAATATGGATTTTAGGATACCCTTTTAAATTTGGAGGATCGAACAGAGAAAAAGAGTCACCGTTACACTGCAATTAAATGTTCAGCAGAACGCATAGAGACATTACTAAAAGAGAATATGGAACTATTTAACATGCAAGAAAATCAAGACAGTGAAATTTGGAGAAATTATGTTTCTTTCATTGACAATTTGATGGAAGAATCTTTATTTAAGTGTATTGCTTGCAGGTGAATAAATATTATATTTATAATTCAATATTTAATATATTTTTATTTTTTGAGCATTTAACTGCTAGATATTTAAATCTAAAGAAAATTTTACTAGAAATAATTCCAAGTGGACCAGGCATTCTTTCTAGTATTTCTTAGGCTGCAAGGCACCGCCATCTCTTCGCTTTGTAAGTAACCCACAACTAGAGTAAATTCGACACGGACAATTAGTGCCGCGGTAGCATAATGGTCAGTGCATCCGCCGAGACAGCGGAGGGTGCGGGTTCGAGTCCCGTCTGCTGACTAGTCCGCGTGGAATTATTTCTAGTAAAATTTTCTTTAGATTAAATTTTTAACTTATAAATTTCGATAATTACTGAATAGTTTCTATCTGCTTCTATTAAAACAGTTTCAAGAGTTATTTTCCGCTCAATAGAATTATTTAAATCATTTTCAACATTAATTAATTTATATTTAAACTAATTATTAAATACTTATTTATATTTAAACTTACTATGGTACTTTATTGTATTTGCCAATTTCAGCTTGGGTTATATAGCAGAACATATGAATCCTAAAAATAATTTAGCACCACTATTTCAAGCTCAGTTAGAATTACTTGAGCCAGATATGGTATTTTTTCCATCATTGGATCCAAACAATGAAAAAGGATTTACAGCATTAATAATAGGAATCATTGATGATATATTGATGATGTCTAGGTTGATCAACAGAATAGATACAAATAAAACAGAAACCTATGAAGAAGATGTAATAAAAAGTGAGGATATCATTGAAATGAGAGAAGAAATCTTAAAAGGAATAGAAAAGGTATAACAGAATTGCATCAAAATTATCGTATCTAGATATGCCTGTTAATATTTACTACTCATATTTATTACTTCTTATTCAGGTTATAGAAGATGCAAATGAATTTTGCAAAACTTTTGAAAACTATGCATATCTGTGGCTCGAAGAAAGAGATGCTATAATGGAAATATTTCTTACTTACGGAAGGATACTGCAGCCTGAAGAAATAGACAGAATTGGATCAGAGGATAACGACCTACCAGCCCCAGTACAATGTCCTCCGAAAATGGAAGCATTTAGGGAACAGATAGATCATTTTGAGAATCTTTTCATAGAGATTGAAGATATGGATCCATTTAAGGTGTTTAATTGCTGGTTTCAGGTACGCAAAATTTTACATTGTCGTATTTAGTAATATCAAAAATCTTTACGTAATATCTACATTTTGAAATGTTATTCTAGGTGGACGTTAGACCCTTTCTTCAGGCATTGCTCAACACTGTGAGAAAATGGGGAAACATGTACAAAGAGCATTTAGTAGAAAATGTAACAACGAGTCTTAGCGATTTGGCTGACTTTATACGTAAAGCAGATGAAGGTATCTTAAAAATATTATACCTAATCATTTATTTTTGGAATCACGTATAATATTGTACTATTATTTTATTTAAGGTTTGATGCAACCTGTACCAGAAGGGGATTATGGGGCTTTAATTAATGTAATGGGATATTTGATGAATGTCAAAGAACGTACATTGACTACTGACGAGATGTTTCAACCTCTTACTGAAACTATTGAACTATTAAAGTTTTACGATATGGATATACCAGAGGAAGTTAATGTTTTGCTTCAGGTAATATATTACAATTAAATAATATTTTTGTGCTCAATGAATGTGACAGTTTTGTCAATTTCATATTCTTATTGTAGGAGTTACCTGAACAATGGCAAGCCACAAAGAAACTAGCTGTAACAGTTAAACAACAAGTAGCACCACTACAAGCGGCTGAAGTCAGTGGCATTAGGAAAAAAATTGCTACATTCGACGCTCATGTCACATACTATAGAGAAGTGTTTAAAAGATATGAGGTGTGTATCTCGCATTTTAGGTAACTGAAAATGAATGAACGGTTGTGTTCAAATAACTCTTCACTAGTTTCCTTCTGACACATGCATTTTGTTGGAGCATATTCATGAATAAAAATAATAAAAATGAATTGCAATTCTCGAATAGTTACGTTGATTATGTTATGTTACAGTTCTTTAAATACGAATGTGAGAATCCATACGAGGTCATGACAAGAGTAGACCGTGAGATGATGTTTTTAGAAGAGGAAATGAAAAATATACAAGAGTCGGGGTCATTATTTGAAGTGAACGTACCAGAATTTAAATTATTAAAGCAGTGTAGGAAAGAGCTGAGAATGTTGAAGGTTGTATATTCTATAATTACTCTAAATTTTAGAATGATAACAATATTTTGACCTTTATTAAAAAAGTAAATTTGATTATAGCAACTCTGGGACTATGTCTACATAGTAAGAACAAGCATTGAAGATTGGAAGACTACCCCATGGCGTAAGATAGATGTTGAAAATATGGACATAGAGTGTAAGAAATTTGCTAAAGAAATTCGATTGCTTGATAAGGAAATGAGAAGGTAGATAAAATCAGATGTTTTAAGTCTTGCCATTAACTTTAATAAATTTAGCTATACATTTAACACCACTGTTGAAATTTAGCTGGGATACTTACATCAGCTTGGAAGCAACAGTAAAAAATATGCTGACGTCACTAAGAGCAGTCGGTGAGCTTCAGAATCCAGCAATTAGGGAACGGCATTGGGATCAATTAATGAGATCTACAAAGGTAAGTATTGTCTTTTTTGTATATAATTTTATTAAACATTGTAAAATGAATGTTTTAATAAAATATTGTAAATAAAAGTGTCTGTAAATAATATTTTCTGTGTGATGAGCACGATTTATATTCATTGTCGATGTTAAAATGTGACTGAGGCTGAGCCTGATGCATTTTGCATGCTTTAATGTGTAGCATGTGTTGCTTTGAATGCTCACGAAATTTCGAAAGTCTTGTTATTAGCTATGAAATGCGTGTACATACAAACTCGATGTTTTATTATGTATGTAAATAATAAATGCCTTGTTATTGTAAATAATGTTTGTGGTTCACAGAGTTTAGCTGCATTGCCACCTGAAGTCACTGTAAGTATATTCTTCAACGTGGGCTATAATCGCATTATGCATAATATGGAATGCCTATAGAGGCAAATGAAAAGTTAAAAGCAAAAGAATGCGGGAAATATTTTTGGCAATCGACATTTCAAAAATCTTTAACTGTTACTTAGCTTGATCAATAAGTATATCTTGTGGGCAAAATAATTTGTGGATATATTTTATTGAAAATCAAGGATAACTTGTATCATTTATCTGTATTTAATTATAATATACTAAGCATAAAGTGCTTAATTAACATGCTTTTTTGATGATATACTTATTTTTCTTTGTATGGAACAGTAGTCTCGCACCTTTGACTTAGAAATTTTGGGATGAAACTTATTTTTACCTTTTGTTCTAGCACCATGCACCGTGCGTACCAACATTTTGTTATATGTTTTCCCTTCGTTCGTTTTTTTGTTTTAACTGTCTCAAGCTTTTATTGTTCACAATAACTAAAAACGAAGTATAATAAAAAACTAAATTTACTTTAAAGGAAAACTATAGACGTTGATTCTTTTAGATGAGTTATATTAGAATAATTTTAATTGGCGACGTATAGTAAATATTTTATTACTCACTACTTATTAGGTTAGGATCGTGATGGATCTTAACACCACTCTGGCTGACTTATTAGCACTTAACTTACACGAATGTGAAGAAGAAGTAAAGAACATAGTAGATAAAGCTGTTAAAGAAATGTCTATGGAGAAAATCCTCAAAGATCTTGATACTACATGGAAAGGACTCGAATTCGAGCAAGAAATACATTCGAGAACTGGCTGTGTTTTACTGCGAGCTAGCGAAGAGCTCATAGAAACTTTGGAAGAAAATCAGGTTCTTACCACTTACTTACTTACATACAAAAGGATGTTCTTAAATGTATGTACTACATAACAAGGAAAAAGAACTTATCTTATTTTCCAGGTTCAACTACAAAATCTAATAACATCCAAGTTTATAGCGCATTTCCTAGAAGAGGTTTCTGCTTGGCAACAGAAGCTATCTATAGCGGATCAGGTGATCACCGTATGGTTTGAGGTGCAACGTACTTGGACACACCTGGAGAGTATCTTTATGAGTTCAGAAGATATCAGGAAACAGTTGCCTGAAGACTCGGCAAGATTTGATAGAATTGATTCGGCTTTTAAGGTGATTTTGTACTTACTATCTGTGCTGTCTAAAACTATCTTCACTGCATTTTCGACAGCCATTTCTGTTATTAGTTGTGTCTTATATTAGTCTTTGGTAATATTATTCATAGCTTAGTGTATTATTTATTTTCTGTTAGTTTGTATAAAATACTAACATAAAAGTGGAAGCAATAGATTATTCTATCAAAAAGGTTATTAACCTTGTCCTTCATTGCAGATTCTATCAACGGAAATGTCGAAAACACCAAATGTTGTAAAAGGGACTAATAAGGATGGCTTGATTGAAAAGTTGGACTCTTTACAAAAGGATTTGATCATTTGTGAGAAAGCATTGGCAGAATATCTAGAAACAAAACGTCTAGCATTCCCCAGATTCTATTTTGTGTCATCAGCAGATCTACTTGATATTCTTTCAAATGGCAACCAAGCTGATCTTGTAATAAGGTACACAATCATTAAAAATATGCGAATTCTATTACTTACGGTATTTGAGCAAGTAAAAAAAATATTTGTGACTATAATAAAATAAGATAAATTACCTTTTCAGACATTTAACTAAGTTATTTGATTCTATAGCAAAACTTAAATTTGCTGAAAGTGAGAATCCTAAGGATAAAATATCTTTAGGAATGATAGCCAAAGATGGTGAGTATGTTCCATTTCATGGGACAGCTGATTGCACCGGTGCGGTAAGTAGTTTTTAAAGATAATTTAACAGTTTTTCAGTTTAATATAACGTTTGCTTTAGGGTAAAAGGAAGGCACTGAGTAAATATATTTAACAGGTGGAAATATGGCTGAACAGAATTCAAGATATTATGAGATCGACTATTCGCCAATACTTCGGAGAAGCAATTGTCTCCTATGAAGAGAAACCGAGAGAACAATGGTTGTTTGACTTTATGGCACAAGTTTCACTATGCGGTTCACAGATTTGGTGGACAACTGAAGTCAACATGGCCTTCTCAAGACTAGAGGAGGGATATGATAATGCACTCAAAGACTATTATAAGAAACAGTTAAATCAATTAAGTACGCTTATAACTCTGTTAATAGGAGAACTCAGTAAGCAAGATCGTCAGAAAATTATGACGATTTGTACTATAGATGTACACTCAAGAGATGTAGTCAGTAAATTGATTCAAGCGAAGGTTGAAGCCGGATCCGCATTTCAATGGCAGTCACAGCTCAGACACAGGTTTCAGTGATAGATCACCTAAGTAATAAATAGAAGTCATGTGCACACACAGGTTATTCATTTTTCATTAACATTACTAAACACAATTTCATTCACGATTATTAAAATTTTGTTAGATAGAGGAAAACCATTGCGTACCATTTAGCTTTACTAAAATTCATATTGGTCTGACTTCATAACTCAATTCATTAATTGTTTTCACAATTAGATAGAATGTATTTACCTGTACATAATAGTTCACGTTTAATTACATTAAATTATAACATAAATGAATACACATTTAATTCAAGATTATATTACGAGAGCTTTAATATTATAGATGGGATGAGGGAGCGTTTCATTGTTTCGCTAATATTTGCGATGCTCAATTCAAATACAGCTATGAGTATTTGGGTAACACTCCCCGGCTAGTTATTACACCATTGACAGATAGGTGCTACATTACATTGACTCAGGTTGGTTGTATTTAATTATACTTATACTTAGATCACAATATCAACTGTAACGCGTAAACTACTTTGATGAATCATTTAAATTATTTTAGTCTCTGCACTTGATAATGGGCGGTGGTCCAGCTGGACCTGCTGGTACTGGCAAAACCGAAACAACAAAAGACTTGGGACGAGCTCTGGGTATAATGGTGTATGTTTTCAATTGCTCTGAACAAATGGACTATCAGGTGATTATTATTAACTTACACATCAATAAAGACGATTATTTGTTACAAAATAAATGTTATTACATATACATATTTTTTTAGTCATGCGGTAATATTTACAAAGGTTTAGCACAAACAGGTGCTTGGGGATGCTTTGACGAATTCAATCGTATATCTGTTGAAGTGTTATCTGTAGTTGCAGTTCAAGTAAAATCGGTGCAAGATGCTATAAGGTAACATTCAGCTAATAATAATAAATATAATAATAAATATTTCCGACACTCACACCAATTAGCCTAGCCCCAAAGTAAGCACTGTAAGGCTTGTGTTATGGGATGCTAGGGTAACGGATAGAATACATATACTGTACATATATAAGTATATTTATATAGAAATACATATTAAACATCCATGACTGGAGTACAAATGCTCGTATTCATCACACAAACATCTGCCCCCACCGGGATTCGAACCCGGGACCTCTCGAGTCGGCGACACCATGAAACCCGGCGTACAAACCACTCGACCACGCTCGACTTATTCAAGTGAACATTACATTTATGCTTAATAAATTGCTTTAGATTTGATTTGCATTAATCTTAATTTAAACACCTGGTGTTAATACAACCTTATTTTACTTTTAGGGATAAGAAGGAGAAATTTAATTTTATGGGTGAAATTATTGTACTGGTGCCTAGTGTCGGAATTTTCATAACAATGAATCCAGGTTATGCTGGCAGGACAGAATTGCCAGAAAATTTGAAAGCGTTATTCCGACCCTGCGCGATGGTCGTACCAGATTTTGAATTGATTTGCGAAATCATGTTAGTTGCTGAAGGTTTTCAAGAAGCTAAAATTTTGGCTAGAAAATTTATTACACTTTATACTTTGTGTAAAGAATTACTTTCAAAACAAGATCATTATGATTGGGGATTGAGAGCAATTAAATCAGTACTCGTAGTAGCGGGTTCTTTAAAGGTATTTAATATTTATACTAAGTATATAATGTTTTAACTAGTAAGGGCTTAACAAATAAGTGATGGTATCTTTATTTTACAGCGCGGGGATCCCGGCAGACCTGAAGAAGAAGTACTTATGCGGACTCTTCGAGATTTTAATATACCTAAGATAGTAACTGATGATATGCCGGTATTCATGGGATTGATTGGTGACTTATTTCCTGCTTTAGAAGTTCCACGTAAAAGAGATTTAGATTTTGAGAAAACTGTAAAACAAGCAGCTATGGATTTATTGCTGCAACCAGAAGACAATTTTATTTTAAAAGTGGTTCAGCTGGAGGAACTTTTAGAAGTGCGTCATTCAGTTTTTATTGTGGGCAATGCTGGCACAGGCAAAACCCAAGTATGGAAGACGCTATTTAAAACCTATCAAAATTTGAGAAAAAAGCCAATTTACAACGATTTGAACCCAAAAGCTGTAACTAATGACGAATTATTTGGAATAATAAACCCTGCGACTCGTGAATGGAAAGATGGACTCTTCTCAGTTATAATGAGAGATCAAGCAAATCTAGTTGGGGAAAATCCAAAGTGGATAATATTGGATGGAGATATAGACCCCATGTGGATCGAATCTCTGAATACAGTAATGGATGATAATAAAATATTAACTCTGGCTAGTAATGAAAGAATTGCCTTAACACCGACAATGAGGCTGATGTTTGAAATATCTAATCTTCGTACGGCCACTCCAGCCACTGTATCTAGAGCAGGTATTTTGTATATCAATGCTCAGGATTTGGGATGGAACCCGTAAGTTTAATCTTCAATTTGGATATTTAGTACTTATAAAGTAGAATATTTTTATACTTTCTGTAATATTACAGATACGTTACAAGTTGGATAGAAACTAGAAAAATACCAGCAGAGAAGTCAAATTTGGTGAACCTTTTTGATAAATATATACCATCATGCTTAGAAACAATTAGAACTAGGTTTAAGAAAATAACTCCAATCGCTGAGATGGCACACATTCAAATGTTGTGTCATTTATTGAATTGTCTACTTGTTCCTGAAAACATACCGCCAGAATGTCCGAAAGAATGGTATGATATTTTCTTCGTTTTTGCTTGCGTTTGGGCATTTGGATCTGCTATGTTTCAGGACACTGGTATAGACTATAGAGTCGGTAAGTGAATATTTATTGCTAAATTAAGAGTATATATTTAATTTATTTGGATATCATGGTAAACAGATATTGATTTCTTTAAGAATTCACTAAATGGTGGGTTAATGAATTTAAAACTATTAAATTTCCACCTGGAGGTACAGTTTTCGATTTCTACATAGACCATGATTCGAAACAATTTACACCTTGGACAGAGAAAATACCCAAATTTGAGTTGGACTCTGACGTACCGTTACAGGCAAGTTATGCGAATGAATATATATCAGTAGCCAGTAAGTACATATATACCTTCCCAGTTCAATCAAATTTTATTTCTGTGTTTTAGGCTGTATTAGTTCCCACTGCAGAAACAATAAGAATTCGATTCTTTTTGGACTTACTTATGAAAAATAAACATCCTGTAATGCTTGTTGGAGGAGCTGGATGCGGTAAAACGGTTTTGGTTAACGAAAAATTACAAAGGTAATCATTATGAACATATTCATATTATAGTAATTTATGATATTTACGGGATTGCACCTTGTTTATAGTGAGTTTCCAAATTACTATAATGTTAGTGACCATGAAACTTTAAAACAATATAATCATTGGTCATATAATAACCTAAGAAATGGAATCCGTAATCATAATACAATTTATTTTTTGCAGTCTTTCCGAAAACTACGCTATTCAATCTGTTCCGTTCAATTTCTACACATCATCGGAAATGTTGCAAAAGATTTTGGAGAAGCCATTGGAAAAGAAAGCTGGTCGTAACTATGGCCCCCCAGGGAATAAGACCCTAATTTACTTCATAGATGATATGAATATGCCCGAAGTAGACACATATGGAACTGTGCAGCCGCATACAATTATAAGACAACATTTAGATTACAATCATTGGTATGATCGCACAAAATTATCCCTGAAAGACATACATAATACTCAATATGTTTCATGTATGAATCCAACCTCTGGTAGTTTTACTATCAATCCAAGGCTTCAACGACACTTTTGTGTGTTTGCTATAAGTTTTCCGAATAACGAAGCTTTAAATAATATTTATCACTCCATTTTGAGTCAGCATTTAAGTAATCCGGAGCTCAGAATAAATCCCATAATTTATAAACTATCACGTATGTATTACACGTATCTACATATATATATCTATGTAGTTTTTCTTAATAAAGCAGTTAAAAGGGCTAATTTCAACTCCACTTTGTTTCAGTTAATGTTGTTACTGCGACGATGACACTTCATAATAAAGTGTCGCAAGTATTTCTTCCGACAGCTATTAAATTTCATTACATTTTCAACCTCAGGGACTTGTCTAATGTCTTCCAGGTAACTTATTATTATGCAAGCGTAGATTATCTACAAAAATAGTGCAAAAAAACAATGTGTGTTACAGGGCTGGATTCCAAAAAGTATTCTTCAAAATCCGGGTGATTGCTAACCCTGTTTCTTGTTCTCAGGGGTTTTTGTTCAGTACAAATGAATGTCTGGTTAATCCATCGGATATTATTCGTCTTTGGTTACATGAAACGCATCGTGTGTACGGTGACAAGCTCACAGAAGATAAAGATATTGACGCCTTCTTGAAGATGCAAGTCGATATCTGTAAGAAGACATTCGAGGTATACTATTTAGTTATATTGATAAAGATAATATAATAATATGGAATCTCACTTTTATAAAAAAAACAATCAAACGGATAATAAATTATATACCTTACTTAAAATATCTTTTAAAATTATTTGTAATGCTTAGGAAATGGATGAAGGTGCGGTTTTCGAAAAACCTAACATTTATTGCCATTTTGCTGGAGGCATTGGAGAGCCCAAATATATGCCGATAGAGACATGGGAGCAACTGAATAAACTTCTCCTTGAAGCAATGGCAAGTTACAACGATCTTATAGCTGCTATGAATTTGGTGTTATTTGAGGACGCAATGATGCACATATGTAGGTTAGTATTTCTTACCACCAACGAAATTAACGTTACGAATATGTATAGGTATGTGAATACATAGGTCAAGCAATAATTCATGTTCCTCTCTTACATAGAATAAATCGGATTCTGGAAAGTCCAAGAGGCAGTGCCCTTTTGGTTGGTGTTGGTGGCTCAGGAAAACAGTCACTATCACGTTTAGCGGCTTTTATATCTAGTTTGGAAGTTTCACAAATTCAACTAAAGAAAGGATATGGTGTCGCTGATCTTAAGGTATAATATTTGTTTCTCTCATTTTTCACAAACTAAACTAAATAAACTTAATTTCAGTTATTACATATTATTATTTCAAATTCTAGAATGAATTGAATGGATTATACATTAAGACTGGGCTTAAAAATGTTGGTATTATGTTTTTAATGACTGATGCTCAAGTCGCCAATGAACAATTTTTGGTGCTTATTAACGACCTTTTAGCATCCGGTGAGGTCGCCGATTTATTTCCCGATGACGAGATTGAAAATATAATAGCAGGAGTGAGAAATGAAGTAAGGAAATTTACATTTACTTTATAAATTAATAATGCGACCATACTTTATAATTTAAGGATATATCAGATGAGATTACTAATAACAGTAATAATCGCGATATGCTTTAGGTCAAAGGCGCTGGATTACCAGACACAAGGGAAGTGTGTTGGAAGTTTTTCATCGATAGAGTACGAAAGCAACTGAAAGTGGTTTTGTGCTTTTCTCCGGTCGGTTCTACGTTGAGAGTAAGATCTCGAAAATTCCCCGCATTGATAAATTGTACTTCCATCAATTGGTTCCATGAATGGCCACAAGAGGCGCTTGTGTCCGTGGCTATGAATTTCTTGGAAGCGTTACATGTTTTACCAGTATGTAAAAATATAAATTCGAATTCTCATTACGTTGTTCGTTAGGAAAGTAATGTAATTATTTTGCTCTGATTTAGGTTTCTCTGAAAGATTCGGTAGCCCGGTTTATGGCGTATGTTCATACTTCTGTGAATACAGTATCTAAGTCTTATTTAGCAAATGAAAGAAGGTATAACTACACAACTCCTAAGAGTTACTTGGAGCAAATTAGTTTATATGCAAAACTGATAAATAATAAAACTAGCGAGTTACAAGCAAAAATTGTTAGGTACGTAACTAATATAAATATTCATTAAACTGTTTGTTTTTAATTTGATTTTTAACTATGTTTTATAATTATCATAACATGTTGCTTTTAGGTTGGAAAACGGTTTAGAAAAACTTCGATGTACTGCGGTTCAAGTAGATGACCTTAAAGCTAAACTAGCTGTTCAAGAGATAGAGCTACAACAAAAGAATGAAGCTGCAGACAAACTCATTGAAATGGTTGGAATTGAGACTGCTAAGGTCCAAAGCGAGAAAGCTCTAGGTAAAAGGAGCTGTTCAAAAAAAAAAATATTTTGTACTTTTATTCGTTACTTATTTACTTAATCATTCTTTCTTATCTTAAACATCTTCGGTTTGCTAGAAAGAGAGTTGCCGCTTTTAGTAAAACCACTCTGAATGTTATATGTTTTCTGTGGTCTAATATTAACAGCTTACTATGTATTATTTTGTATTTTGTCAGAATATATAATGCTTTAAATATAACAAATCACTGTCTAATTTCGAAATGTCAATGTTCCAGCTGATGAGGAGGAAGAAAAAGTGGCAGTTATAACTGAGGAAGTATCTAAGAAACAGAAGGATTGTGAAGAGGATCTTATCAAGGCTGAACCAGCTCTAATTGCTGCTCAAGAAGCTTTGAATACTTTAAACAAAGCTAATCTTACCGAACTCAAATCATTTGGGTCGCCACCTGGAGCGGTCACTAACGTAACTGCGGCTGTCATGGTATTAATGGCTCCTGGAGGGAAAATACCAAAGGATAGAAGCTGGAAATCTGCTAAGGTAGGAACCAATCATAGTGGATTTATTTCATAAATATTGTCTGTGTGGTAAAGGTGGTTTAAAAAAACTCAATTATTTTTTAGATTGTAATGGCAAAAGTCGATGTCTTTTTAGAGTCTCTCATAAATTATGACAAGGAGAATATTCATCCCGATGTCATTAAAGCTATTCAACCTTATCTAAAAGATGCCGAATTTGAACCTGGTAAACACTATTATATAATAAAATTTAATAAAAACATTTTTAAAACTACATATGCTCAAATTACTAGTTCGATTTCAGAGTTTGTTAGATCAAAATCTGCCGCTGCAGCTGGTCTCTGCGCTTGGGTAATAAATATAATCAAGTTTTTTGAAGTATTTTGTGACGTTGAGCCAAAAAGAAAAGCTTTACAGGCAGCAAATGCTGAGTTAGCTGCGGCTGTGGAAAAACTTAAATCTATTAAAGCAAAAGTTGCTGTAAGTAGCGTTTTTATTTCACTACCATCAAATAACGTCTTTTAGAACATTAAATGATTCATTAGAATAGATGGAATTGTGTCTTTACATGCATTGTTCGTCTTTGTGCAGTCTCTTGAAGAGTTGCTCGCAACTCTTACGGCGGACTTTGAAAAAGCAACATCGGAGAAGATGAAATGCCAGAGGGAGGCAGACGCCACTAACCAGACTATTCAACTTGCTAACAGACTTGTGAACGGCCTTGCTAGCGAAAATGTGCGTTGGGCCGAATCTGTGTCTAAGTGAGTGAATAATTCTCCTTTAGTATAAATATGCTTGGTAAATTAAAATATTTCTGGAGAAATATGCGATCAGATTTGTCTTTTAATAGAACAGTAGTAGAAAAGTTGGACGACGGTACAATACATTTTTACACCAGAAATAAGAACATATAAATCTAGCAATTGCAATGCTTATACGAACATCCTACTAAATATACTTTTTTACTAATATTATAAATGTGAGAGTTTGTATGTTTGTTACTTAATCATGCAAAAATTACTGAACGGATTAGGATTAAATTTGGTACGCATATAGTTTATGATCAGGATTGAGACATGGAATTCTTTTTATCCCGTTTTAAAAAACCTAAAGTTAACGATGAAATCGCGAGCGGCCGTTAGTCACGAATAATTGTTATCAGTTAAGGACTTAGTTAATCCGAATAAAACTTAATTCCATAGAAATGTACGACAACTGTTTGTTCCAGTTTCATGCAGCAGAATACTACACTCCCTGGCGATGTGCTGTTAGTGTGCGCATTTATATCCTACGTGGGATGTTTCACTAAACAATATAGGTTGGACCTTATGCACAAGCAGTGGCTAGTGTTTTTAAAGACTCTAGAGGTATGTTTGCTTTTGTACTAAGATATTATGCATCAAGTAAAGATAAAAAGCGGCGTCAGAAACAATATGCACTTAATATTAGAATTTTTGTAGTAGGTATCTATGATTATCTTATTTACATATACGAGTATCATAGGACCACTGAAAACAAAACTTTTTCTATGTTATAGCCACCGATTCCAATAACGGATGGCCTGGATCCTTTAACAATGCTAACAGATGATACATGTATAGCTATGTGGCAAAATGAGGGACTGCCATCTGACCGAATGAGCACTGAAAATGCCACCATTTTGTCCAACTCAGACCGTTGGCCTTTGATGATTGACCCACAGGTAAAAATGAATTTCAAAATCCTAGATTTATTTCTAATAACAAAAACGAAATAGTTTGATACTTTGTAAGTTTGCTACAAATTCCAGTTACAAGGTGTAAAATGGATCAAACAGAAATATGGTGAACAACTGCAAGTAATACGCCTAGGTCAAAAGGGGTACTTAGAAGCTATAGAGAAAGCTATAATAAAAGGAAACACAGTTCTCTTTGAGAATATTGGTGAAACTGTTGATCCTGTACTTGACCCTCTGTTAGGAAGAACCCTTATAAAGAAGGGGAAGTGAGTACATTTAAACTACCTTTTAACAATCATTGGGCAAGTAAAATTGTCATTTTATCAGATGGCAATGCATACTTTTGTTAGATACCTTTTGTTACTAAACTAAATACTTTTTAACTTTTTCTGTCTTTACGTTAAAAAAATATTGTAACATGTTTCCTGTATAATAAATAAAATTTAAACGTTTCAATTTACCAGGGCCATTAAAATCGGAGACAAAGAAGTAGAATACAGTTCAAGTTTCAGGCTTATCCTGCATACCAAATTAGCTAATCCTCATTATAAACCAGAAATGCAGGCACAAACAACTTTGGTCAATTTTACCGTTACGAGAGATGGATTAGAAGATCAGCTACTAGCAGAAGTAGTTAAAGCTGAAAGACCTGACCTTGAAGAATTGAAAGCAGAATTAACGAAGCAGCAAAACGAGTTCAAGATTCAACTTAAGGAATTAGAGGATGATTTATTATCTAGGTTATCATCAGCAGGGGAAAACATATTAGGTGACACCGCATTGGTGGAAAATTTGGAGACTACTAAAAAGACCGCAGCTGATATTGAAAGAAAGGTTTGTATCTACATCAACAGCTTTGTCAAATAGGTCCTTATGTAATAGTTTTTATAATACGAATCTTCTACAGTAATAATGACTATATATCAAAATATTATATGCAGGTGGCTGAAGCTAAAATAACATCTCAACAAATTGACAAAGCTCGAGAATTTTATAGACCTGCTGCAGCCAGAGCTTCTTTGTTGTACTTCATTCTGAATGATTTGAATACAATAAATCCTATATACCAATTCTCCCTCAAGGTATGTTTTTTTACATTAAAATACTTTAAACACTTAATATTGACAGAATTGATATCATTTATTCATTTGTAGGCTTTTAGTGTTGTGTTTCAAAAGGCTATTTCGAGAGCTGTACCAGCAGATGAAGTAAATCAAAGAATAAAAAATCTAATTGACTGCATTAGTTACTCAGTCTTCCAATACACATCAAGAGGTTTATTTGAATGCGATAAACTCATTTTTGCATCCCAAATGACATTCCAGGTACGTGTACTAAAAAGAAAGTTCATAATGTAACATAGATCATGATGGTTAGCTTTATGCGAATATATTTGGCAGGTACTTCTAATGAGTGAAGAGATATCACCGGCTGAATTAGATTTCTTCCTCCGATTCCCAGTTAAACCTCATGTGACAAGTCCCGTTGATTTCCTTTCAAATAACAGCTGGGGTGGCATTTGTTCTCTAGCGAGTAAAGATGAATTTAGAAACTTGGACCGCGACATCGAAACTTCGCAGAAAAGGTGGAAGAAAATCGTAGAAATGGAGTGCCCAGAAAGAGAAAAATTCCCTCAGGTAATAAATTATGTCAACCCAACTTTTCAAGTATATTTTGTAACTGCGGTTCAAGCCTGAAATATTCATTATCGTTATTTAGGAATGGAAAAACAAAACTGCGCTGCAGAGACTATGTATGTTTCGAGCATTACGTCCCGATCGCATGACGTATGCAGTTGCGTGAGTAAATTCAGTATTATATTTTCTTGACAGTTTTTTTTCATTTTATATGGAACCATTTTTTTATTTACGTGCACACGTTAAACTAATTGCAGAGCGTATATTGAAGAAAAGATGGGTTCAAAATATGTAGAGAATCGAACTGTGGAGTTCAGTAAATCTTTTGAGGAGACTAGTCCCACTACCCCGATATTCTTCATACTGTCACCGGGTGTGAATCCCTTAAAAGACGTGGAAGCGTTGGGAAAAGTAATGGGATTCACTTCGGACACTGGTAACTTCCACAATGTGTCTTTAGGGCAAGGTCAAGAAATTGTGGCCGAGCAGGCAATGGATGTAGCCATCACTCAAGGGCATTGGGTAGTCTTACAGGTAGTCACATAACATACAACATCAAGTTTATTTTGGAAAAATGTTGAGTTTAAGACGCTTAATTTTTGTTTTTTATCGACTTGCAGAATATTCATCTTGTAAAGAAATGGTTACCCAGTCTGGAGAAAAAAATGGAAAGTTTTGCTACTGGCACCCATAAACAGTTCCGGCTATTCATGTCAGCAGAGCCAGCCGCTACTCCTGCTGCGCATATTATACCACAAGGTATTTTGGAATCGAGTATTAAAATTACCAATGAACCACCTACTGGAATGCAGGTAATTAAATATTTGCATTATAGACTATGGAGTTCTGATAATTTCATAATTCATATTATCTCTTATCTATTAGACAAGTCCGTCCGTCCGTCCGTGGTGCTGTTTCAGTGGCCAAACCGTATGAGATAGATAAAGAGAATGTTTAAGTTATAAGTTATGATATGAATAGTCTGATAAGACTACAAACCGGATTTGAGTAACGTAGCACTTCCGGTTTTCGAGAAATCACGTGATTTCTATTTCAAACGAAACCACACAAAATCTCCGAAGTTCTCAATTAATTAAATACATTTTTTTGGTGAACATTTGGTTCACTGGTTTGCTAGTTTGATAATAACTCCTGAACCATATCATATTCACGAAAAATATGACAAAGTATTATGCATTTGTTTCAGGCTAACATCCACAAAGCACTTGATAATTTCAACCAAGAGACACTCGAGATGTGTGGAAAGGAGGCGGAATTCAAAGCTATTTTGTTTGCTTTATGTTACTTCCATGCGGTTGTTGCTGAAAGAAGAAAATTTGGTCCACAAGGATGGAATAAAATTTACCCGTTTAATGTTGGTATGTGGGATTGTTGCTGATTTTTTAGATGTTTTTTGAAATGATGAACAACATTTTAACTATTTATGTCATTGTTTAAGTATGTATGTAAATATATTATTATGTAGATGAGCTCGATGGTGCAGGTGGTTAGGGCATTCAGCTTGCGATCGTAAAAGTTAAGCAACTTTCGCTATGGTCGGTCATTGGATGGATGACCAAAAACTTATTATCTTGAGCTTCTTCTTCCGAAAGGCTTGTTAAGTCGTTGGTTCCGGCTGCATCTGCAGTCGTTAGCACCCACCAATCCGCACTGGGCTCGCGTGGTGGGTCACGGCCCAATCTCCCTATTCCATCCATAGAGAAGAATCGCTTGAAGTGGGGACATGACTTAGGCTGTTGATAATGATATTATTACAGGTGACTTAACAATAAGCGTGTTCGTATTGTACAATTATCTAGAAGCGAATTCTAGAGTGCCTTGGGAAGATCTTAGGTACCTCTTTGGAGAAATTATGTATGGAGGTCATATTACCGACGACTGGGACCGTAGATTGTGCAATGCTTATTTAGAAGAATTGATGCAGCCTGATCTCGTAAGATATCCATGAATAAAAATAACAATACAGTTTTATTTTACTTTTTGATTTGGAATTTTTTTGATAATATAATTATATTTTTAAAGGTTGATGGTGAATTGCAACTAGCTCCTGGTTTCCCAGCACCGCCTAATACAGATTATTGTGGTTATCATCAATACATAGAAGATGCAATGCCGCCGGAGTCTCCATATTTGTATGGCCTGCATCCTAATGCTGAGATAGGATTTCTTACTACTACTTCTGAGAACCTGTTCAGAACTATATTCGAGATGCAACCGAGAGACGCTCAGGCATCTGGCGCGGCTACTGTGACTAGGGAGGATAAGGTTACAAATTCATACATTTTGATTAATAAAGTCTCCCGTAATAAAAGTAGCAGCTATATCACAAAAGAAATAATTAAATATCGTAACGGTAGTTTAGTAGACGTATAATGATATTTCTAATCTTTCAGGTAAAACAAATGGTTGATGAAATAATGGAGAAGTTACCCGAGGAATTCAACATGGTGGAGATAATGGGAAAGGTTGAAGAAAGGACGCCATACGTGATAGTGGCTTTCCAAGAATGTGAACGAATGAATTACCTAACTGGAGAGATGAAAAGATCACTTAGGGAGTTGGATTTAGGACTTAAGGTAAATTAAAGAAAGGCAATTAAATGTATGAATCAGTATTGAGCATTTCTTACATTGTTAATAGTCAACGATATTTTATGAACAAAAGCAGATGTTACTATGATGTTATATAAAGTTTATCCTATTATTAAAAGTAACTCAATTACAGGGTGAGCTTACAATTACTTCAGATATGGAGGAGTTAGAGAACGCATTATTTTTAGATCAAGTAAGTGAAATCATTAGTTTTTACAAAATTGACTGTAATTAGCAGCCATTGAAGAATATATTATTGCAGAGTTTTATATCTTTTTAGGTACCAGTTATTTGGTCTAGCAGAGCATATCCGTCTTTATTAGGTCTATCAGCGTGGTTTGTAGACTTGCTTCTTCGACTAAGAGAGTTAGAAACGTGGGCTACAGACTTCGTTGTAAGTTTAAACAATAACTCCTGAATAATGGAAAATATAAGAAATCTACAAAAGCGATTTTCATTGTAACTTTATATTTCAGTTACCAGCTTCAGTTTGGTTAGCTGGTTTCTTTAACCCTCAAAGTCTTTTGACTGCAATAATGCAAAGTACAGCACGACGATATGAATTGCCTTTGGATAAAATGTGTCTCCAATGCGATGTAACTAAGAAAATGAAAGAAGAGTTCACGTAAGTACTTACATGCGTAAAAATACAGACACACTTGTAACTAAATTACCCTTAGGGTTGTTTTTAATGTAATTGGCATGTATAAATTGAAATTACTATCATAAATTGATTGGCATGTTAAAGTGTATTTATAGAAATTTAGAGAAAAATCGCGAGTCAAAGCATGGCCTTGATATAGTGTGGCCTTATGTCAAGCATGTCTGGAGTTTAAAGGCTTCGACACATCACACATAAGATGGGTATCAGCAGCGTGAGAGGTATCGACATTAAAAAGCAGTTCTAAAGTGATGGGTGTTACATTATAATCACTTACATCGTTATATCGACTCAAATAATTGATACAGAATCCAAACGAGATTCAACCTTATTTTCTTACAATATCAACATGTGATGTACCGGGCATACGGTGGTTCTTATATTAAAAACAATTGCCTACACGAGTCCTTTTTCTATTCCGCGCTGCAACCCTAAAGCATGATTGAATATCACTGGATGTGGAAGTTATTTAATGCTTGAATTTTTCTGTACCGGCTTCAGGATCGACAGCAGGTTTGGTTTGATATAATGCTTCGCTTGGTGTGGTCCCCACAGACCGGGGTTACCATAATAATGTTAAGACTACTTCAACCTGGCTATGTTTAGTTAAAGTGACACTAGACACTGCTCTTTACGCTGATCACTTTATTCACTGCATGGACCGACAACCTAATGCATTTCTCGTCGTACGACAGCATTCTTGATTGCAGGAACGCTCCGAAAGATGGAGCTTTTGTCCATGGTCTCCTGATGGAAGGTGCTAGGTGGGACGTCCAAGCTGGGATCATTATGGATTCGAGATTGAAAGACTTGTTCCCTCCGATGCCGGTCATCAATGTTCGGGTATACGAAAGATAATTTATGAGATTTATTTATTATTGTTTTTCCCAAAATTTACGTTTGTGCTCCGTTGCTGCTACTTTTGGAATCACCCAGATCTTTTGATACAATAAGATGACTTAATCAAAATTAACTCAAAATCGATTCTTAATATGCAGCTGAACGAGCAATCTTGGACCCAAGCATCCCTACCCATTCGTTATGGTGGTTTAGGGATTCGCTAAATTTCTAGTGTCGCTTTACCAGGCTTCCTATCTTCTGCCCATAGGCCAGCAAATCTCATAAGTAAAATTTTAAGGACATCCCCTTCAAACTTTGAGATTGCTGGCTTGGAAGAAGCTAGAATTGCTTTCTTAATTCTCCAAATTCGCAGAGGAGCTGGGACGACATAAATTGCAAACTGACTTATAATAATCTTTTAAAGTGTAGTACAGGTCCGGCGCGTGCTAGGCTTTTGTGCGTACCCACGCAAGCCAGTAGCCAGTAGCCTTCGTTAAATACAGGAACATTTCTTGAGCCTGACACGCTCCGAATCACAACCTGTCTACAGCTTGGGGTCCCGGTCTGCGCTCCTCATAAATGTCCCTGTGGCAATGAAGTCGACAAGCTAGGACATTACGGACTCCCATGCCAAAAAAGTGCAGGCCGCTTCTCGAGACATGCCGCACTTAACGATATCATACGCCGGTCCCTTGCTACCGTCAACGTGCCAAGTCTACTTGAGTCGACTGGTATTGCAAGAGACGATGGCAAGAGACCGGACGGTATGAGTTTGATTCTATGGAAGATGGGTCGAGTGCTAGTATGGGATGCAACCTGTTCAGACACGCTGGCCCCTTCCCATCTACATGGAACCAACAACAGAGTTGGTGGGGCTTGCGAAGCGGCTAAAAAAGCTAAGGCATGCAAATACAGGGGCCTAGGCTCCGAATATGATTTTGTCCCATTCGGTGTCGAGACCCTTGGTCCGTCGGGTATTAGCGCTATAAGGCTTTTGAAGGAAATAGCAAAAAGGTTAGTCGACATCAGAGGAGACCGAAGGGCTGCTACTGGAAGGTCTAGCTATTAAAATGGGGAACGCTGCAGTATCTTCGGAACCTAAAGGGACTCCATATAATAATGTATTTTAGTTATTATATTTTATTTTTTAAAGGATTTAGTTTTAGGTTCATTGTTCTAGTGTATATAATTTTTGTCTTAGGCTAGTATTAGATAATCGTATATCTGTTAATTATACTCTTATAAATTTCATATGTTAGGACATTTTTTAACATAGATAAATAATATATAGATATTTATTAGATGAAGTAGACTAATTACCTGAAGAAATTTAAGACTTTTGATACTGTCTAAAAAAACAAAATATTTTTCCTAACAATCTTCTTTAAATAGTAAAATAAAAAATTGTTCCTTTAAACACTTTTATTTTCTTTATACAAGTTTTTGTGTTCTACTCTTCCGCATTCCGCTTTATGAGCTTGGAAAAGAAAACAGGTGTATGATGTGATTCATGCTCTTCATATTTAGAAAAATTAATATTAAATTATATAGGTATATTTTAAAACAAGCCACAGTTTTTAATTGAATTTTTAAACAAATTTGAATAACAAGGTTGAAGTAAAGTCGCACACACATTGTAAAGAGTTACATATAACTAGCATCTGCCTTGCAGCGTTGCTTGCTGTAATTTTGATGTACTGTTTTTTGAGTTTCATGACGCGTCATATAATATTATTTTGTCATATTAGCACTTTTTGATGTTTTCATTCCATTGTTCTCATAGCCTAATTTAAGGTCATAATAGAGATTGTTAAAATTTTCATAAGAATTGCGCCTTAAAAATTTATACTTTAGAAGTCTTGGTTTTAAATTCTTATTTCATTTGTAATTTATTTCAGCCAAAAATTAAGCCGGGTTTAAATTTTAAAAACATAATTTGTTTTATGTTTATCCTTTTATATATTGCTCAATTTGAATGAATCCTTATGGTTCATCTTTGTTATTTTTTGTTACACAAATAAATTTTCATATTCGTGTTATAAAATTAAAAAAATGTTTTAAACTTTCACGGTCACTAACATTATAGCTATTAACGGGATTGTTACCATGTACCTTGTTTTTTATGAGTCTCCGATATTTCGGCACTATTGCAAGCGCCATGATCACGGAGTAACTGAAGTACTCCGTGATCATGGCGCTTGCAACTCTGCAACCATAAAAAACAAGGTGCATGGTAACAATCCCGTTAATAGCTGACCCAGCGAACTTCGTACCGCCCTAAAAAAATAGGGGTTGTCCAGCGGACAAAATTGTGAATCTAAACCATTCTCAGATCCCCTTGAGCACACACAAAAAATTTCATCAAAATCGGTCCAGTCGTTTAAGAGAAGTTCAGTGACATACACACTCACAGAAGAATTATATATATAAAGATATATATATATATATATATATATATAATATAAAAGTAAAAATTGTCTGCATTTGTGAGTCATTTGTGTTATTCATATCTTTAATTACTTCAATTTATTAGTGTGATAATATTAGCTTTTCCTTTTTGAAATGTTTTCTTAACCTTTGACTGTATTAGTGATGTTTTCAATAGATAATGTAGATAGGTACCAAAAGGGTTTCAAGCTCCTTTGAGACTGTTTTCTACTGATACTGCGGAGATCTGATAACGTAAACATAAGCATGCCTCTGCAGTATTTTTATTATAAAAACTACATAAGTTTTGTCTTTTAAATAGGCAATAACTCAAGACAAGCAGGATCTGCGTAACATGTACGAGTGCCCGGTCTACAAGACCCGCACTCGCGGACCAACCTACGTATGGACCTTCAACCTGAAAACTAAAGACAAGCCGGCCAAGTGGACCCTCGCAGGAGTAGCTCTGCTACTGCAGATTTAGATCGTTAGAAACGCAAACTTGAAAAAGCAACAGTATATCGAATATACCTTGATTGTCAGTAAAAACAATGACAATACTAAATCGAATTTCCATTAATTGAAAGTCAAAATAGATAAACAACATTATATTGAATATCCTTTTATTGAAAGTCAAAATAATTAAACAATAATAAATCGAATATCCTTTATTTGCGAGTCCAAATAGTTTAACAATATTATATCGAATATCCTAGTATTGTTTATTATATGTTAATGGTCCATTCATTTAGTTCCTATATAATGTATTATGATTAAATTATATATGATCAAATTTATATTTCAATTCTCGCAATACTTTATTCTAAAGGTAAGACCGCACTGGGAGTGACGCTACACGACGCGTATTTTTTGGTAAACCGCACTTGAACTATAGCGGCGCTACAAAAATATATTCAGTAGCTAGGCGTACCCGTACACGTAACCTGAAAACGTAGTGGGAACTTTCTCTTTGGGCAAGATGAACGACGAAATGGATATGATTATAACTTTTTTGTTGTACGAGTAAGAGGAAAGCATCGAGCACGAACAGGCAAGAAAAAAGCAAAAAAAAATATGGCTACATGACATCAAACTCGCGATATGAAGAAGGAGACAATTTTACGTTTTTGCCTCGACTTAAGAAGGATCCAATTAGATTCCATACTTATTTTAAAATGTCTCAATACAAATTGACTGACTATGAAAATTAAGTTTGTCGAACCGCACTCCGCGGTACACGTCGCCGTCGCGACACTTTTGGTCAGTTGATCAACTTTTCCGCGCAGTTTTGCTGCAGTGTAGTTCCGTTGCAGCTTAGTGCGTATTGTATCATGTAATTTCATATTAAGAATATTTTGACGCGTGGTGTCGCTCAGTTCCTCTGCGGTGCAGTTCCGCCTAGTACGGTCCTACTTTAAATGATTATGTTAGCATTAAGTATTGATTTATATAGTCTTCTGCGATTACTTGTGACAATTGATCTATTTATCTATAAGCTTGCTTCTATGATATTTTATTACAGTTTTTTTCCCTACGTTTTATTGTTTAAATTATTCTTTATACCTACTTAACGTATTCTCGAAATTCATAGCTAGTGTCATCATCTATTCAAGAGTAATTAAAACAATCTGCGATTTGTGTTTATTATTAGTGGTGATGAGACAATTTGAGTTGATCAACGACGATTACTTCATTAAATTATTAAAAATAATGCAAAAATATTCTAATTTTGTTTATTTAAAATAGTAGACCCATTAGTTTTGACTGTTATACGTTTTAAAGAAAATAGCACAAGTAAAATCAAGATTTAATGTGAAATAAATTAATATGTTTAAAATGTTTACTAGCTACACATAAATCTGCCATACAACCACCTGCTCCAGTAAGTATTTATGAAATAGTGTTACATAAACGATTAAAAAAAATTGATTATAAATAATCAATATAAGGTAACACCAAAAATCTAATAATAATACCACTAAGCCCCATAAATGTGGTATATGATCGTCTTTAAAAGTTAAAAAAAAATGATTTGGTTTTGTATTAGTATGCAATTAATAACTTATGTTGAAAATAAAATGATTTAAGGTTAGGTTTTAATTACTTAATATCATTTATTTTTGAGAAATTAAACGAAAAAAGAAAAATAATTGTTGCTATTTTTGAAAATTGACGCACCATAGAAACAGGATACTAAATGAATTTTATCACCTTTTAAATCATTATTTAATGACAGTTAAATATTCCACGTTGAAACTAATAAGATGATGTCACGGTACTGCCATTGTGATTAAATTTATGTTATCATACCTAATGATGTCCCCTCTCTTGTGCTCTATCATCCACCAACGCAAATGATTTATGGCGTGAAGTAAATAAAAAATATATGAATATTTATTATTTACTAGTGGATGTCAGTGACTTCTTCTGAGTAGAACATTTAAGACCCAATTATATTATATTAAGAACACAATTTATTCCATCCCCTTCAAGTTTTATTTTCGTTACAAAAAATAGTTCGTGACCCCCTATTAGGTTTCCTCTATCTCTGAATCAAAAGTTATCAGAATCGTTTTAATGGTTTAAGCTTCTAATAGTAACAGAACAAACTGACATACACAAGGACATACACATTAATGCTTGAATCTATCTTCTCATATAAATAAAAATTAATTGTCGTAATGTACGTATGTACGTAAATATAACATTCTAAAGACTTCAACAAATTGGAAAATTCTTTCTTTGTTATATTATATCGTGATCGTATCCCTGTTTACTTTACATCCAGCATCTCGAGATTTTCATTTCCAAGAGGTTTAGTTAAGCAATTATTCATGGAAGAAAATAATGGTTCAGTATGTACACAAAACATACAAGCCTGGGGTGGGTGTATTAGGGAATAATTCGAATCAAATTGATATCGCCCAACGTATGTGATCTGCGTGTGTATGCACTAGCGATGCGTTCTTATCTTCACTGCAGTTATAATTTTATTTTTTTAAGCATGTAACTGCTCGATATTTAAATCTAAAGAAAATATTACTAGAAAAATATCCACGCGGACCAGGCAGCAGACGGCACTCCAAACCGCACGCTACGCTATCCGAGCGATGTTTTGGAAATGAGGGACATTCGTCCGAGAGAATAAGGTAAGGCGGCATTCTCACATGAAAACTGCATTGGGTAGTCCAACTTGCTATAGTTTTTAGATTACTGTTACTGCTACCCCGTATTCTACATAGTAATGAGGCAATCTGTTTCCGCCAAACTACATAAAAATTATCAGGGTGTACGTCAGCGAACATTGAAAATTAAATATATATGAAAAATATATGGTGGTACGAAGTTCGCCAGGTCAACTAGTTAAGATGATGATAATAGTATGCATATGGTTTAGACAACCAAATCTGACAACATTAAGAAGAATTATATTTATAAAATATATCTCAACTTGGCCTGAGGGGAATAATGATGGAATCCATTAAAATCTACTCAGTTTCATTTTAAATGACTTTATATCTCCGATTAACTGGTCGAAGCTGTAAACACTAAAAATAAATGTCAAGTTTAATTACGATGGGGTGTGGCAAAATCGTCAGTCAATAAAAATTTGCATACCTACATCAAATCTATCGACATGTGAATTTATTGATGATTAGCTTTATTTTACGACGTACTATTGTGATTTATTAAAGATGATTTCAGGGATAAAAACTATTTTGTAAAATGTTTATGCAGGGAAACGACCTGTCAATCAACCTGAAGGAAACTGGTCGCTGGTGGACACTTGCAGCACCAAGTGTTGTCGGCTCTGAAGGAAAAGAGGTTATCCGCCTTGTGAAGACCGCTATTTCATAGCTGGAAGGAGGAAGAAAACCACTGAGGGAAGTTCGTTTTTTTTTTAATTGAGGGTAGTTCGTTCCAGACAGTGTTACCAAGTCAGGTTTTTAAAAATCGGGAGCATCATAGAAAAAACAGTAGATGCAGATGCGTACTATTTCCAATTTGCACGCTTAGAGTACTATGCGGCCGGACCTGTGTTTGGTAAAGCCTCAACCAGTGTTTAGGTTTGAATTACTTTCTCGCCTCGCACAAGTTTTTTGCAAGCTAGTTTAGCTTTCCCTTCCAAATGTTCTCGTAATTGAACTTCATTTAAAATGTCGACTCCTAAAATTTCTATATTTTTGTACATATTAAGGGGGGTGACCTGGAAATAGAGTGCTGCTGCGAATGAGGATTTTTTATTCGCGGTGAACACAATTGTGTCTGTCTGGTTATATCTGACTTAATTTTGTCATCTATAATGTGAGACATTAGGTGCCAATTCTGGCGTCATTCTCTAAACTTAAAACTAAATTTAACATCAGTCTCTCCTTTTCATTTTGTATAGAGAATAACAAGGATATACTGCTGTCAAATTTAAGTTTAGGTTTAGAGAATCACGCCGGAATCGACACCATTATCGTATGCCCTTTTCCGGTTCTCAAACTATTTCTATACCAAATTTAATCTAAACCGATTCAGTGGTATAAGCGTGAAGAGGTAGGACAGACAGACATACTTTAGATTTTATAATATTAGTCCATACCTCTTTATGGAAGCCTTAACAAGAATCGCAATCGCAAAAATTTGCGCATCAGAATCCGGTTATGCGTTTATGGCAGCGTAGCGCCACAAGTAAGTTACATTTATGTTAAATACATTCTTTTTAACAATAAGCACCTTTTTTGCGTGGGGGCTTAAAACCAAGGCAAAGAATAACATAAAAAGAACACAATTGGATTACTAAAAATCGAAACTAAATTTAATTTAAAAAATCATATATCTCTATGACGGATCAAATCATTAAGTTGTTATGTGAATCGAATTATTATGTTCGGAACAAATTATCGATTAAAGTTTAAGATTTGATTTTTATGATTAATATATTATGAATTATAGAGATACCTACATAACATGAAATGATCTCATATTTTAGTAGAAAACACAAAAGTCTTCTTGTTTATAATTTTGAGCTATCTTTCGTTAATTTCATTAGTTCCCTCTGATACATTTATTTAACAAAGATAAGTGGGAGAGAAATTTGCATAGGTTGTTTGGTAGTTAGGAAGCAATGCTTAGAGCCCACAGAGTCGAAGTTAGGTCTTATTAAGGGCTCTGGGCGCTAAATTGTCATACGTTTTAGTCATCATCATCATCATCAGCGTCTTAATGTCCCCACTACTGGGGCACAGGCCTTCCCTATGGATTGAATAGGGAGATTGGGCCATGACCCACCACGCGGGCCCAGTGCGGATTGGCGGATGCTAACGACTGCAGGTGCAACCGGGACCAACAGTTTAACGTGCCTTCCGAAGCACGGAGGAACTCGAGATAGAATTTTTTTGGTTACCCATCCAATGACCGACCGCTGCGAAAGTTGCTTAACTACAATGATCGCAGCCGAACGCGCTAACCACCTGCGCTATCGAGCTCCTCTATACG